GGGTTACGGCACTTGTGCGGCCCAGGGGATGGTCGTCAACGTCAAAGATATCCAGGTAAGAAAATAGAACACCCCGGAGCGCCGCAACTTGGGAAGGTAAGAGGTCACTGGATATCATTTTGTCGAGGAACGCCTTATTTTGCGACGTGATGACAGGTTTCGTCATGGTCTTAGTGTCAGATGTAAAAGAACAAATCGAACATTCATCAAGTGTAGAAAGATCGGCTAAATTGATGCCTTGGGGAAGCACTTGGGTCGACGTAGAGAAGTTCAGAACTGGAAGTAGCACCGTGTTGTTAGCAACAACCACTATAGTATGTGGTAGTGCGATGTGGTGCGTAAGAGTCAAATCAATGAGGGGAGCTACCAGATAGTCTCCATCAGGAACGGACGGGAAGGGCGACAGAAGAATGTACATAGCAGCCTGGGGCGGTAGCCGTAGAGACTCCACGGATCGTAGCCGAGTGCGACTTGGAGGAGTGAAATCGGAGCAAAAAGGCAATTCGAGCCGTAAGATACCGGTAGAACAATCGATGAGGGTGGAGTGGGCGGTTAAGAAGTCAATTCCAAGGATGACGTCGTGTGGGCAAGCATCGAGGACTGCGAAGAGAACGGAAGTGTGGTGGCCGGCAACAGTAACGCGGGCAGTGCACACGCCAAGCACCGATGTTCGACTTCTGTTGGCAACTCGAACAGTAGAGAACATAGCTGGTGTGAGAACCTTTTTCAGGCGAGATCGAAGTGTAGAACTCATAACAGATACTTGGGCACCAGTGTCAATTAGAGCAGTAACGGCGTGGCCATCAACGAACACCCGAAGTAAATTGCGTCTTGAAATTGTAGCCGGTTAAGGGTTTTCGTTCCGACTCGTCAACGCAGCGCCACCTCCAGGAGCTGCACTCGTCAGTTTCCCGGGGAATGGCCAGAATAAGCCGGTGACGGAGAGCGGCGGCGTTGAGGGGAGCGTGACGGCCGACCCTGAGGTGACGGCGAGCGGCTTGACCAGGTTCTTTGGGCGACGACGTCAGCGTAGGACGGTTCGGAGCGTGGAAATGAACGGCGAGCTGAAGGGTCCAGAATATGGTCATCCGGAAAACCGGGTTGCGAATAGTGTCCGCGGTCCTGACGGCGATCTACATTACGAAAGCTTGGCCGGAAATACGACCTGTTGCGGCAATGGCGGGAGATGTGCCCAACTCGAGAGCAAGAAAAGCAGATTGGTCGATCATCATGCGTGCGCCACTCAGATGGATTTCGGTAGCGTGGTGGAAACCGAGGAGTCGAAGCTGCCGCAGCGACAAGTGGAGCAGAGTGGTGGTCAGCGTTGTGGACGGGAGTGCTCATGGGCTGCGGCATAAGTCTGGCGGGCTGGGGAACCTGGACGCCCAGGTTAGCAAACTCCTGACGTACGACGGCTTGAATAAGCGAGACTGTTGCCCAGTTGTCTTGCGCAGGGGGCTGATAGGAAGCGGTTGCCATGGCTTCCAGCTCCTGGCGAACAATTCTTGCGATATTGGCAGGAGGCGCAAGTGAATGGGGCGCTGCAGAATCCTCGCAAGACGAAGTCGCAGCAGTGTTTGGTAGTCTCGCGATTTGGTGGGTGATTCGCCTGCTTTTAGCTTGCTCAAATCGCCGGCATTCAGATATGATGGAGTCGACGGTGGTGCAGTTCTTGCACATTAGTATGTTGAAAGCATCATCAGCAATGCTTTTCAACACGTTGCTGATCTTGTCCGCCTCGGACATGTTTTTGTCAGTCTTCCGGCACAGTGCCAGTACGTCTTGGATATACGTGACGTACGACTCCGTCGATGATTGAACACGCGACGCGAGTTCCTGCCTGGCTGCCATCTGACGAGCAACTGACCGACCGAACAAATCGCGAAGCTTTTGCTTGCATGTGTCCGCGCTGGTTAATTCTTCTTCATGCGTCTCATATCAGGCGCGTGCCGTACCACGTAGGTAGATTAGAATATTTGCCAGCATAAGCGTTTCGTCCCACCTGTAGTGCTTGCTGACGCGCTCGAATAATGCGACCCATTCTTCGACGTCCGTGCTGTCCGTCCCGGAAAACGTGCCAGGGTCGAGAAGATGGGGAGGGGGGGGGGGGATTACAGGTGATGGAGCCGGCGCGGATTGCGAGGCCTGAGTGCTGGTTTCAGGCATCGCGGCTGGACAAAGCTGGCGTCCACTGCGGAGTTCCAGAGCCAGGTTGTGTGAAGACCCAGCACCTTTCCACCAAAGATGTTACGGGAAAGATTTATTCACCGAGAGCTGGTCTTGCTAACGGCTTAGAGAGCGCACAGTCAAGCAGGCCAACGGGAGAAGCTTGAGAGTCCAACCCACCACAACCACGTGGTCGTCTTCTTCATTTGGGTGCCAATTCAGCTGTGTCGGTGCGACAGTTCCATACACGTATCAATATATATATATATATATATATATATATATATATATATATATATATATATATATATATATATATATATATATATGTATATATATATATATATTGAATTAACTATATTGACACGCTAGCACTTTGATACTTTGATAAGAATTCGCATGCAGAGAGGTGACACGACGCGCATTATTAAATACCACGAAGTTCAATCACACTTAAAATGGCCGAGGCCGAGGAATGGCGCCCTTAGCCCATTTTCCGCATCCAATATGCGACGCTCATCTTGCTATCACACCTCTCTGTTTCACTGATTATGCTTTGGCGGTTAACATCTACAGACACAAAATAGATTGTTCAATAAATTTATCATGGATGTTAGTCATCGGGGTGGAGATGTACCAAGCGTCAACTAGGATAGATGTTGACGTTAAGCGGGGCTATAGCTGCCAAACACCAAAACATACATTCGGCAAACCCTCGTTTATCAATGTACAGTAAATATTTAATTAACTTTGCAAAGGTGCGTTTTACTTTCGCGTTTTACTGCCGCTACAGTTACAAATTCCAAGTTAGTATAAGCAAGGCTGATCAGGTATATTATAGGCTAGAGCAAAAACAATTTTTGGGGTTTTAGAGCGGAAGAACCTAAACTTCAAAAACGATTCGTCACACTTATCGGCTCGCAACAGCTTTGACAGAGCAGCAGTGATTATATACTCTTTTCAAAAAAGATTATTTTCCAGTCCATGAGAAGTTTGCTAGTTTTAATCCGTAACTACGTCAACAAGTCACAGCTGAATAAAAGCACGAACAAATGATGTAATATTTATGGGGCCCCTGTGCAGCGCTTGTTTTCTTTGCAATACTACAGCGCAAGACGCGGAAACGACCCGCACCGCAAAGAACCTACAAGAAAAGTCATCAGCGGAAATGTTGGCAAAATGTCACTATTGCCACGTCCCATTTCCCAAGTTTTTGTTATCGTCCCAAAACACCACACGATTCTCAGCGCAAACCGCGCCTGCAGTTTTCGAGAAGGTTCCGGACTGTAGTAGATCATTTCGATAAGATCACGCCCACTGTGCGAACGGTACAGATTGTTCTGGAACCTACGCCACCGCCAGCGATAACGCTAGAACATTCGACGGCAATAGTATAAATGCCGACGCGCTTCGCCGCTTGTCAGTAGTTGATCGAAGGCCGACGCTCCGTTCGCCGCTATCAGTCCGAGACTGCTATCTGTGCGAGACTGCTGCTGTAATTGGACTTTCCGTTTACCGGGCACAGGTTCGCCCAAATAAACAGTTAAATCCCAACACGAAGTCTCCTGTCTTCGGCCACGTCACGACCCCGTGACACTATGTAACATTCCCTAGTAATATTTCCCTTCCCCTGTTAGAACATGATTGAGTTATTACTGTTGTGATAAAAAACTTCGCCTTACTTGTTGCTTCCCCAGCCTGCAGCAAAGAGTGACAATTGTCAAAAAGGGGAGGGGGGGTTAAGCCCCATAACTTTTTCCTGTGGGGAGCTCGCGCCCCCTTTGCCACCCCCCCTCCCCGGCTGGTATGCCTATGGCTGCAAGTTATCTTTTAGTTCACTTAACCTTCTTTACACTTTATTCATAATTACTACACTGCCGTTACAGACTCCAAATAATGCTCGTATGCTTTCTTATACATCAATGTCTCTTTGCTTCATTTCGTTCTACATAACAGACAAAACAAGCCTTCGTTCAGTTCGGCTTCCTTCAGTAATTGCATACTATGATTTTCGAACAACAAATTTGTGATTAACGCGACTAAGTCAGTAATATTCATCACTGCAATAAAACAAATTAAGTGTAATTTTTAATCTTGTGCGTTCTATGCATCCGTCGACTGTATGTTTCAGTGTAGCAAAGTATAAAAGGATACCTAGAGCCGTGTCTTCTGTTTTCTGTCACATATTTTTGGCGCTAACTAAATGCTTCTCTCGCCGCACGCCTCCCCTACAAATCGCCCTCTGGAAAGCACATCAACTATCCCACACTTGTTCTTTATTCGTAACTCCTTATTTTATTTTTAATTTTTTTGCAGAAAGCGAGCAGTGGGATCTATCATCCAAAGTTAGTGACGTTGATGCGATAAACAGGACAAACGGATTGAGACAGATTCGGTATAATAGTCTAGTTAGTTTTCTACTTATCCTCAGAATCAAGTTACAGCGTAGAGACATAAGACACCTCACGTGGAAAGGACAAGACGCGAAACACGCAACCGCTGGCTAACAACCGTTTTGTTCCTCAAAATGTCAATACATGACATAAGCCCAAGGCAGCACGACCGCACATGCGCACGAAAACAGCATCTAATAAAAAAACGTTTTAGTAGATTTATTGTTTTGTGCGTAGGCAGCAGCGCTGCCTTCGACTTTACTCTACGCACTGACGTATGAAGGAATACAACAGCTGTTCGGCAGCGGTTGTGTGTGTCTGATCTTTGCTAAGTGGGTTGTGTCATACGATCGTGCTCTAACTTTGACCTCAGGATTTTGTACCATCTAGACCTAACTGAGGTTTTACCCGAGCTTGCTATTCACATGGCTACAGCTTCTTGGAATGCGGTGGATTGCACTTAAAGCTATGACTTGTTTTTCACTTCTTTCCTGAGCTAGCCTAATTGACTTGATTCCTCGCCGTTGCGCTGCTGCGTGTTATTTTCCTCCAGCCACTACAGATTCCTTCGCAGCAGAAAGCATTGAAAGCGTCACGAGGTACTCCCTCGTCGCCAAACAGCTGTTGAAAGCGCGCGGTTGCTCGACCTTCATATCTGTCCAGTGGGGAATAATATTGTACGCAAGTTGGCCTTCGATATGAGACATGAACAACGCTGCCTTCGTGGACACTATTTCTGAAGGTAAGGGGTGTACTTTACACTTTTTATTCAAGTTCACTTAGCGAAGTGTAAGAGTACGTCGACATGTGCAACAATATTATCTGGGATTTAATGTCCCAACACCATGATAATATTACGAGCAACTCTACACTGGAGCTCTCCAGAAATTCTGACCATCTGACGTTGTGTAACGTTCACTGACATGGCGTAGCACACGGTTCTCTACCATCTCGCCTCCATCGAAATGCGACGACCATGACCGCGACCGAACTTGCGACGTTGACATATGTTGTAGGCATGCCCATCTCGGGAACGTAATTAGGAAGTTAACCGCATGCTTCTACATTTACGCCGTGATCTTAACTGCGCATTCTACTGCTATTCGTGTGTTTCGTGTATTGCACAATGTCTGTTCGCATTTTCTCTAGCACCCACTCATTTTGAGCGTGACAGCTCATATTTTGCATATATCGTGCCAGTCTCGTAGCCGACGTTAACACCTTTTCTACTTTCCACTTTCTTTGGCCTATCAAGTAAGCCATGGAGGTATTCACCATTTAAGCATCCGTTGATGTTGACTGCGGAACCACGAGGACAACATATACGTCAAATAAACGCGTGGTCTAAGCATTAAAGCTGGTGCTCATCTCGAGCAGATACGCTCTGGTGAGAGAGTATTTTACGCATGACAATATTTACATTTCTGTACATCCTTGGAAGCCCTGAACTAAAACTTTACTAGCTCTTTTGAATACATATGAAAATATTTCAAGAATACGTGGTTCCCCTAAACGTCAAATAAATGTGTATACTTTGTATTACAACGCGTCCAATACAATTATCCAGTAAACTTCAACCATCTTGACGTGACGTTAGTTTGTTTGCTCACTGAGGTAACCATGGATTCAAGTTGTTCACTGTGCTATAAAAATTGAGTAAATGGCAAGATAGCAAAATATCCTAATAATACAGCCGCACAGGGCGTCTTGAAAGGTTCGTCAGTTTTGCTAAGGTATAGATCAGAAACTATATGTGCAAAACGCCAAGATTTCAACCAATGTGGATTCCTAGTTTTCATACAATAACACTTTTGTCCAAAAATCTAATGTCTACATTTAAAACCAGAATCTAGATGGAAGCCGACAGATAGAAACATGTACTTGGAACACCGGGGTGAACAGTGGAAGTGTCTCAGACAGGCTGGCTGACGTTTTGACAGGAGGACATATCTTTGACAAAGGCACATTGTCATACTTGTGTTAGTTTTAAGTACTGACCCCCTTGAGGTTAACACGCCATCGATGACAAGGTGCATTTGACAAAGATAGGTTCTCCTATCGAAACGTCAGCCAGCCTGTCTGAGACACTTCCACTGTTCACCCTGATTATCCCACAATGTCTACATTTAGTACACCAAATGTAGCCCCCCTCCCTTCCCCGCTAAAAAAATAAAAGCAGCTGTAGAAACACCACAATTTTCAGTGAAAACTGATACTTGCAGTTGTTCAAAGTTAGAGTGTGTAACACAATATAAGGATTGGACATGTGTCAGAAAGTATTAAAGGGTTTTCTTGCTGGGTAAGCAAACGCTTGTGGCCTATTTCATCTACTCAAGCAGTCGTGCCTTTCTTATAGTGGGGCGTAACCAAACGCACGCTGCACGCAGGGCACACTATCAGGATTGCCAACCGTTTTTTCCCGAAATCTTGGGGCAGCGTGGGACAATAAGGTGGTAGTGCAATTCTCCTTTGTAGGGTAATGAAGCATAAGATGTATGGCAATTTACATTTTTGGGCTCCTCGTCGAATGAGCGAAAAGTTTGGACCATGGACGTGACATTTCCGAGGGGCCATTAACAAATATTTCAAAACAATATCTTTCTTTGAATAAAATTGGAACTGTTTTCATTTCCATTTCACCAACATATGACAGATAAGATAATGAGCCGTACATCCCTGAGCCGGTATTGTTATTTTTTCCCGTGCATTTTTTTTTACTCTCCACTCTCCTGCGTTCGCTTGTTGCATGAACAGGTTTTTACATTTGGCGGCGGCTGTCGGTTCCGTCATGTGAGGCCTTCGGGTCATTCTAAGAAAATAATAAATGGCCATGCGAGCTTTTTTGGTGACCTTGGAAAGGTGGAGGCTGAAAATGTGCCCTTTATAATGATTTGTTGAGCTGCGCTTCACCAAGTGCATGGGCCTATTATTATTATTATTATTATTATTATTATTATTATTATTATTATTATTATTATTATTATTATTATTATTATCATTGATAATAACACTAGTAGTAGTAGTAGAAGTAGTTGTTGTTGTTGTATATTTGCACTGAAGCGTGGTTGTGTCAGTTAGCACCGTCAATAGCCGTTACGACGAATGTGGAACACTCTTTTTCGCCTGTTGGCGTCATATAGAACGTGATCTTACTACGCGCTGGCAGTTGGCCAATGACCCCTCTCATACTAACTGAAGGCACCCTATACGTATGTTATCATCTATACTACCTGTTGGCGTCACGTCAACAAGCAAAAAGAGCGTTCAACACTCAGCGTAATGGCTACGGGCGCCTCTAACCGGCACAACCAGCTTTAAATGCACATTTATACCATATAACGTCGACGGCGGAACATGAAAGAGGCCTTTGTCCTGCAGTGGACGTAGTCAGGATGATGATGATGAAAGTCGACGAATGACCACCGCTGAAGTGGTAGAGAATCAGACGCGTTATTCAAGGGCCACAGGTTGGTCCCCGCCAGCGGCAAGTTATCTTCTTCTGCACTTTTGTTTCTTCGCATTTACAATACAATTACTACTAAGAGTACCTGCTATACTAAAAAATGGTGCCAAATTGACACGGGCAGTTTTGGAAGTTTAAGGAAAATAATCTAACGAACACAAAGGCATTCGCAGCTGACAAACGGAGCGCACGATGGCCACTTGATAGATTCGAGGCCGACTTGGCCTGCTCGGTACCGCTGGTGTGGTCTCTCCTACGATGTCAACAGAGGCAGTGATGTTTATGGCCGTGCGCACCCGGCCCCAGCGAACCGAGGGCGCATGTGTTTAATGTTTTGTAGCCCAAAAAAGTGCCCTCAGGTGAACTATTTATCTTTCTTAACATTATGTACGACTTTATCGACTCTACACCACGATGTGGAGGACCATAGCGCGCTGCTTAGTTGCCGGTGGACTCAGTTTTACTCTGTGCAATTGGTTTCTTATGTGTGTTGATTTATTGATTCATTGATATATGGGGTTTTACTTCCCAAAACCACCATATGATTATGAGAAACGCCGTAGTGGAGGGCTCGGGAAATTTCGACCACCTGGGGTTCTTTAACGTGGTTCACCCAAATCTGAGCACACACGCCTACAACATTTTCGCTTCCATCGATGCAGCCGCTGCAACTAGGATTTGATCCCAAGACCTGCTAGTCAGCAGCCGAGTACCTTAGCCACAAGAGCGCCACGGCGGTTTGTGTGTGTCAGCGTGTGTGCATGTTGATTGATTGATTGATTGATTGATTGCCATGTGGGGTTTAACGTCCCAAAACCACCATATGATTATGAGAGACGCCATAATCAAGGGCTCCGAAAATTTCGACCACCTGGGGTTCTTTAACGTGCACCAAAATCTGAGCACACGGGCCTACATTTCCGCCCATCGGAAATGCAGCCGCTGCAGCCGGGATTCGTGTGTGTGTGTCTTTTGAAGCAGTTGCCGGAAACACGCTTAAAAGATACACAAATGTAATAAAGCAAAAGCTGGTCAATTCAGAGAATCGAATAATTAGGACGTGTGCCCTAGCCCTAGAGGTGTATGCGTTTTTCAAGAGCATGGAACTTTCATTAACTCGTACTCAAGTGACCACAACACGTACGATCCACAGAGCGTGTCGTGTGCCGAGTGTCTCAAATGTGCTACGCAAAACAGCGAAAACGGCGTTTTCCGATATGCGAAACAATATTGCACTCTCCGTGTCACTGTCATCACAAGTTAGCGACCACGGTTTCATCTACATGCGGATCCTGCAAACATGCGCACACAGTCTAACATATCCTAAATGATGGCGAAATCTGTTGAGAAATGAAGTGTGTTCAGCGGCGGCTCAGTATGAAGATGCATAAAGCTTGTTTGTTACATTGCGATACGTGAACTATCCGTTGCGGGCAGTTTCACTTGTGAAGGAACCGTCGACATCACATGGGAAGACGCACGGTGTCCGTGGTGGTACGTTATAAGGCAAAGGCCTTGAGCGCGTTTCGGGCTAATTAAACGTAACAGTATCTGGTCGTTGTTGCATTTGTGCAAATTTAGATTTTCACACTGCCCTTATGCAAAAAAACGCAGGATTTATGTATCAACCAAGAAAATGAGAACACATCGTTGCAACAGACGTATAATATTTTTAATACTTTCCGTAAATCGGCATGCGCTTAATTTGGAGATGTTGTTTCGGTCTTATGAAATTTCAATTAACGAGCTTTCACGGTTCACAGTCTGCGAAGTCAGCGCTCCACCCTTGCTGCCCCCTCCACCAGTAAGTGATGCCTCCGCACAACTCAAATTTCCGGCTTCGAGCACGCCGCAGAAAGTCTCTGCATTTTCACAGCCTGATTTTGGAGAAATGCTATTTTGATGGCTACGTTTTCCAACATGACTCATATTGTGATTTTGCACGTTAAACCACCGAAATCATTAACATTACTATACTTGTTGCATTTACTGACATTATTATACTTTTTGCAGACTCAGAAAGTGTACGGCTCTTTGAAACTATCTATAGATAGTTTCAAAGGGCTTTAGCTTCTCTCGTCTACTACTGGGCATTATTGAACCCTGAGAAGCTGTGTAGAAATAAAAAATAGTCATTGTTTTTAGGATTCTGAAGCAGCGGTAGAAATTCTAACGGCTCTTTATAATGTTATCATCATTCCTGTCTTATGGCGATAGTAAAAAAGTAACTATCAAAGCTTTTTTTTTGTCAGTCAACCTGATTGATCTACGGTCTTAGTACTATAGTCAGAGCTGGTTATATAATCGGTTGCTGTAGTGCGCTTTATTGCATGGGTTCTGTTCAGTGCCATCCACATCTGTACAGAGCAACACAGTCCACGCAGACCGGTGACACATACAGAACTGACAGACCTAATCTTCCACGGCCCTGGTCCTAATGACTGTCGTGTGATGATGTGCCGGGAAAAGGCAAAATCGTAATGGCTTCTCTTTTTTTCGTTCAGTGCCACCATTTAGAGAGCCACATAATGCGCTACGTCACATGGACAATGAGCCACCAACCCAGAAGCGGCGTAAGGTCAACCAGACCAACGCCCCTTGGCGCGTTGCAGTGGTGGGATCTCTTATCGTCCTGTTTGCCACGAGTGTGTTTGGTACCTCGGGCCTTTTCTACGTCTACTTCGTGGACACGTTCAGGGTCAGCCACGAAGCTGCATATTGGTCGGCCAGCACAATGGCTGCGATGCTTAACTGCGCAGGTGGGCGGGACATTTATCACAGCCCGAACTTTCTCTCGGTTTTAAAAAGCAATACGCTTTTCTACAACTTCTGAAGGAGGCTTTAACCACGTATTTTGAGCCAGACTGAATGCAATTCTTTGAACTTCAAGAAGTGTGTTCAGATCAGCAAACCGATAAAATGACGTATCCTGTGGTTGCGTATCGTACTGCATACGGTCCAGCGTTTTACTAGTCGAATGACCATTACTTGTGAACAATTATTTTCATGCCTGAGAAATATTCCACATCACCGGCCATGAAAAATGTAGGTAGAGCATATACAATGAGCCATTTGGATTCCTGACTCTAACTTTTCTGAGATCTTGCATGCTCCTCACATCTAAAAACGTACACTGGTAGACCGATGTTTACAGCTACGTACTAGCTACGCATGGGGCAAGCTTAGGGTGCCTAAGTGCAGCGCTTACGAATTTAGCGACTGATTCGTCAACAGACACGAAAGGCAGGAACCCTTCCTTAGGCACCCCTGCTTTAGGAAAAGCTCCTACTTGAGGTCAGTACTAATATTGATAGTAAGAGATACAACCGATAGTTTCAAATATATCAAAAAAATCAAACTGCTAACAATTCTGAAGCTCACCGAAGTTTACCATACCTTTATCAATCTATATTACAATAAACAGTAGCATTGCCGCGGTCTTCCGACAGAAGAACGCAAAAGCCAGATGAGTGGGACTACACTGGTCGTCAGCCGTGCAATCGTTTGTAGGAAACTTTCAGCAACCGAGACAACCACTCAAAATGCATTACTGTACAAGCAGTCCAATGCCGTCACCGGTCGACACCAAGTGATAAAAAGGCTCCATAACATATATAGAGGAACAATTACAACAGAGTGTTGCGAAAACACCTCTTAGACTGATAACAGAAGCCGCGAGAGACGCACACATAACTTTTTTTCGAAGCGGTACCAGTGTCGTCGCTGTTTGTGTCCCCAGGAAGTTTTGCGCATGTCATACACAAGGTGCGAAGGAACGATGTACTGATCAAGAAGTTCGATACATTCACAATAAACGCCTTGTGATTATCAAGAGAAAAACATACCACCTACCGCTAATGAAGCTTCAACAGTGAAAGAGAGCATGTTGGTAAAACGAATTACCAACATATCCTACACTCTGTCAAACTAAGAAGACCAGCTTCTGATACGAAAAGCGCACAAGCTTAAACTGGGTCTAGCCCTCAATGTGTTGATAGGAAAGCTACTGAGGATAAGCAGGCACAATATTTTACAGGAATCAGTCAAGGTTCACGAGACCAGTCAGATCTGATGACTCAAAAAGCTAAGCAGCACTTGTCCAAATGTACCAACGAGACACGATTATTCAGTCAAAGACGAGTGCATGCAGCAGCACGCTTTGGATCCCTGTGCTCTGAAGGGTTGTGCTGTCCAATAAGCATGATTGAATAATCATCTTTTTAGTGACTGCAGCTACAAGTTATATTTGTAATGAAAAGTTGGAGGCAGATCTACGTGAACGAATTCTTCTTTGTGCTGCGAGACATGCTAGTGCAAAATATGAGTGCGGTTAGCATGATTCGCATGCAAAACGGTGAGCAGAGGCGCAAAGCTCCTCCCCGATATATGATTGAATAATCATCTTTTTAGTGACTGCAGCTACAGGTTACGTTTGTAATGAAAAGTTGGAGGCAGATCTACGTGGACGAATTCTTCCTTGTGCTGCGAGACATGCTAGTGCAAAATATGAATGCGGTTAGCATGATTCGCATGCAAGATAGTGAGCAGTGGCGCAGAGCTCCTCCCCGATATGTCACGGCATTTACATGGGGTGTTTGATCTGACAACGGGTCGAAGGCTGATAGCGGTTCTATTTATTCTACTATCTGGTGGTGATAAAAAAGCAATAAATGATTTTATTATCAGGAAGGAACCAATCATCACCGTCTTGCGTGGCGTAGTGATGAAAACCGCAATTAAATTTGGCAGTGGCGTATATCGGCGCCCAGACAAGCTAGACAATTTTTTTTTCAAGTGGAACTGGGTAGAGAGATACAATTGTCTCCAACTTCTGAACACAGACAAATAAGCTCGTCTGATGCTGTGACCTAAAAAGTTGTTTACTCAATCTTAGTTAATGGGGTGGCTGACAGTGTTGATTATTGTCGCACTTTGTATACGTCACTGGATACATAATTGGATATATAGTTTATCTACAAGGGTGGTTTTCGTGGACATTCAAGCGCTGAAGTTCCACAAGGTCATAAAGCTTATTTTTTAACACTCTTTATAATTACAGAAATGCAGGTACTTATTATGTGAATCTTAATTTTCAGGCCTCATTGTTTCGTTACTCCAGCGCTTCCTGAGCATTTTCCAAATTTCTCTCGTCGGCAGCGTTCTACTGTGGACAAGTCTCATGCTAGCAGCATTTGCACCTAACATGGAGCTCATGACTTTACTTTTGGGTGCTGTGCATGGTAAGTGCTTGTTAAAATCTAATGCTAATACTTCACCTCCGAGGGGAATCAGAACATTTGTCGCATTACAGCGTAATTTAGTACTTAATTTTTGTTTGCCACTGCGGAATTGAGCGCTCAGCTGGGATTGTTAGCCTCTTGGATTAAGGGTGAATTAGGGTAACAGTTAGCGATATAAAGGGTCGCATACCCTAGCATATAATAATTTGTATGTACGCTGATTGTGAAATCAAAGTGCTGCGTGGTGCACCCACTGCTCACTTGCAGCAGCGCCAAGCATATCACCATGACACTATCTAATCAACCCATCATGCCAATAGTTATTGCAAGTCACTGAACATACCACGTCACGTCAATTTTTCATTTCATGTGGGGCCCATAAAGCTCTTATTCTATGTGCTCCAAAAATCAAAATGGAAAGAAAAATGAACAAAAATAATGGGCGTTGGACTCATCGCGTCAAAATGACGGGCTCGCGGTCCGGTACTTCAAACAATGTAACAGACACATTTATGCCTGAAGCATTCTCTTTTAATCGGGATTACAGCAAGAGTTAGCAAGTTCTTCGTTATCCTTCATTACGAAGTCCGGTTTTTACAAACAATTTGTCAAGTTCTACCGCCCTTCTCGCGGTGTTCAATGTTATTGTAAAATGTTTTCATTCCGCGTGTTCCAAGTTATTCCGCCTCCAACCCTCCAGCTTTCCCTTACTTCTCTCTACCACACATTCATTTATGTTCGCAGAACTGCCATTCAAACTTGATATCTCGGGCAGACTTGGTCTCTCAACTTACTTTACTTATGTTACACAGGTCCCGTTAATTGGGGAGGCGATCGCCGGGCTAATTCCAAGGGCCGAAGTATCGGCCCCCCGAACCGCACCACGAAAGCGTGGACAATTTAGAAGTGGTCCTTTTTGGTGCGCCAGCGGACGCCGGCTGTGGCCCAAAGAACAAGTCAGAGCCGAGAGTTGATAAACAAACGAAATTATATTTTCAATAATTGCAGATCAAAACAACACACAAGTATGCACTCTCCACAATAGTTGAGTACAATATATCACCAAACAAACAACGTACTACACAGTACAATCAGCCACACTCGAAACAACGGACACAGACAACAATACGCACTACAATGCAGTCGCATGCACTGAACAACCAAGACACTTAAAGACTAAAGAGATAGGAAACCTATTCAGTCCAAAGTTCTTGGAACAAAAGTCTGGATGATACTCTTCCGAGAAACACTCACTCAAAGTCCAGCGTTGTTGCCGTTCCGCTGCCCTCGAAGTTTCTCTTCCAGGAAACCTCGCGTCTTCAATTGGCCACTCTCCAAGCTTCAAACTTCTTCGCCGGAAACACGCCGGCTTCACACACGCAGCTGTTGCCACGCGTCTTCGCTCGATAGCGGTAAACACACACTCTTGCCTGTAGCTCGAGTCGTCACCCCTCTGGTGGAAATCATCTTCTCCTGCTTTGTCTCCACGGACAAAACCTTCGCCGACTACACGGCGGAATCCCTACGCGCTCTGGCGCTAACTTCCGTCTTCTCCTGCTTTCTCGTCTCGGCCGCTCGATTAAATACCTTCCGCGCGAGATTCCAGAAGGTTCTCGTCATTTCGTCGGCGCGATACGCAGCGAAGGCTGGGGAGAGGGCGAGATGGTTCGAATGCCCTCCGCGTCGGATGACTCAACTCGGCATGACCACGCCTCTCTCCTTCTAGAAATTTCGAGTGCTTGCTCGGCCGCTGATGTGGGGTGAGGAGGTTCGTTGGCGAAGCCACGCTTCCGAGAGAGAGCGCGCGCCCGGGGAGCCTTGTATTTTTGTTTTCCTTTTTTTCTTTTGACCTCGCGGTGTCTCTCCCGCGCGTTATCGCAAGAATTTGGCGGCACGCCCATTTTTAGCGCTCGTTCTGTGACAACTTATCAGTATACTTTCTCATAATTTCTGCGCATTTAAAGCACGAATAGATTTCACGTGAAAATTTCTCGTTATAGCTTCGCAATCTAAGGCACACTCATTCACCCCCCTCAGAGTGGATACCTTTCGTCTGAATAGTCATAAAATCTGACTGTTTTTATTCCATTCTTTGCTGTCCAATTTACCTCCACCATAGCTCATTTATTCTCCGCTGCATTTGCGACTTGACGCTAACCACCTTTTCTTATCTATTGTCAGCTACGTTGCAAAGTTTACTGCTTAGGTTTGTCGTAAAAACGAGTGCCGGCCACTTCAGCCGCAAATCCGTTGATCCCAATAATATTAACCAATAAGCAATTCGAAAAAAATTCTTCCTGTAATGTGACCCTGGGATGGTTCCTCATGGAAGGGTTCCTCATAACTTCCGGTATTTAACTAAAATTTACAGCCAGTACGACTGAAGATCACTCGGCACTTTGGTTTCGTCTGCGACGTTCCCAAGCGCCTGTGGCCACACGTTTCAGCTTCTTTGGTTAGCCATCTGTCCTGAGTGCATGGGTGGTCATTTCTTTTTATGGGTATGTGGGGGAGGGCAGTTTATATTATTTTCTGTGACCAATTTTCTTCAATTTTGTCAGCTCTGCGAAATTTCTGTCGCACTCAATCGCAT